AAACAAGGTGCAAGTGAAGTAATACATAATGCTATCAAAAAAAGGAAAAAAAAAGGACTTCCGTTTGAATTTCTATTATAACTTAAGCAAACGGAGAAAAAAAAACAATATAGCACTTTAATATAGCTCAACGTACTACTCGAGTTAAGAAGCAAGAACAGTTTTCTTTAAACTTAAAAAGAGGATATTAATTTTTGTTTTAAGTTGTTTTGAAGATCAAGTAAGAAATACAATTATAGTAATAGAACTTACCAGGAAGACATACTAGGTACTAAATTAACACATTCAATTAGCAATACAGGTTTCTGTGTCATTAGTCAAGGTAATCAGAAATATACAAGAGTCCAAGAACGCCATGTAGTTGTTAAATAAACAGCGATGGACAGATGTGTTACTAGTTAGGACAAGATGTACCGGGAAGTGCGGGATATATATGAATCTGCTTACTTGTTTTGATATTGGTGGGTATAGGGATGCACTCTGTAAAATCGGAAACGAAAAGAATAGCGACTATAGGTACAGTCACTCTCGTCTTGCACGCACATCGACAGTACGAACAGCAGCTAAATCCCCTTTCTACTGCAGACTCTTGCTTGCTAATAACAAGGACACTAGCCCTGCGGTCCCGATGGGGACTACACTAGGTTGGGCAATTATTGGATTAGGATTAGAGTTTTTTTGAGAAATAAACGTACAATTTAGTGAAATACCTGTCACATGTGTTTGTTCTCATTTAGTATGACAATAGGCTATTGGCAAGTTGGGGACATTTTACTCACGACCAGAATCTCAGGATTACAAGGATTGCATAAAGAAGCGCTCTACCGACTGAGCTAAATCCAGGCCAGACGGTGGAGTTTTACTGTGTGACTCAAGTGTACAAGTCACACTCGTACAAAGGACACGAAAGGTCAATTGTATACTTGCGCGTGCTAAAAGTGAGGAACCCAACGAACTGACTCTAGAAAGAAACTTGAGATTAATTACGAAACAAGAAAAAATTTTTTGACCCCTGCGACATTTTTAAGCGGCTGTCATGCTAAGAAGAAGGCCCTCAATAGGTTTTTCGGGATACGTGATTTACCTCATTTGAAGCTCGGGATTCGGGACTTAAAAGCAAAATCAGAGCGAGAGTTGGGATTAGAAGTATGCGCGGGAGTTGGGATGGCAAAAATAACCCTCGGGATTACGGGATTGCATGAAGTTTTGGGTCGGGATTACGGGAGTGAAAACCCTATTGGGGACCCTCTGAGAATGAAAGCCTGCTTTCTTCGGGTCTCCGTTACAGATCCCCCGTCGCTAGCCGTTCTGGAAAACTTCATCTTAACTCACATCTTTCTTACCCAAAGCTTCCCAATACTCCTGCCATATAAAAACACCGAGCTAGTTCACACAGCTGTTATACAGCTGAATTTTAGTCGATTTGCTGTGGTATACTAACACCCCTCTGGCCTTTCACAGCCTTACCTTATTGAGATCTCCTTGATTTCAAAGCCATCTTCATTGCTAATAACGCTGCCCAAGTAAAGTCATCACAATAAATTCCAGTTTCGCCGTATATCTGGAGTGAGAGCATCGCCTTGTCGCCCCATGTAAGGGAATCCAAGACAATCCTGGATTCTGAATTCCACGTCGTGGATCCCCGATTCCAATCGTTAGTGGCATTCCGGATATCCTTGAGCTACATTCCGGATTCCAAAGCCCAGGATCCGAATTCCACAAGCAAAATTTCCAGGACTCCAGATACCATTAGCAAAAATATTTCAGGGATTCCGGATTTGGATTCTCTTGCATAGACCGAGCCTTGGGCTCTTGGGAAATCCGATTACTGTCCCTGGGGGGACACTCCTGGGAATTCTCGGTGAGGGTATGCCGCCCGGTTCTCCAAATCCTGACCCTATTTCAGACCAAAGAATGTAATTTTCCATACCTGTTTTCAGACCTGGCCTTTAGGCAGAAATTATGTTATAATTACATAGATTAGAGCGGAAACAAAAAAATTATTTAAATCCACTCCGTCGGTTCCCTCGAAAACCATACCCAATCCCTGACCAAAATCGGCAAAGCGTATACCCGTTTTCAGACCAAAACGACGCAAAAACCCTACCCGATGGGGTTGCAGAAACCTATATAGCTTATAAAAGGAAGTATCCCTCCCACGGGTTACTGTCTTTTCATCTTAAAGATGAGCACGATTACTCGAGATTATAGGCAACTTATCGTCTCTTTAAGATGAGTAAAGAAGGTCCAACTGTATATAAAACTCCTATGTTGACCTGTTTCTCTCATAGACAGAGGATTCAACCATTCAACACAGTCTTGTTCCTCTTGCGTATTGCGAGGAATGATTTTGGTAAATTTGGTTTGCAGTAAGACCCGGCAGACACTTACAGATTATCTTACATTTGCAGATAAAAAATGTTATACCTCTCACAGTGGGTGGAAATTCTAGTCATATCAAATGTGTTGTAGAGCCGAGCTGATTCTCTACTGCAACAACATTGACAATCTGAAATGTAAATCCACAAAGTGGACCAGGATGTTATGCTGAATTCATTGCATTAGTTGCTATTATTCTGGGAAGCGCAAGAATCATGACAGTCGACTAGTCAAGGCGAACAAAAGACCCTTGATAAAAGCTATCAATACAAATTTAATGGTTGGAAAAGTTGTTTGTTAAAGGAAAGGAAAAGGTAAAGAAAATCCATTATATACTTTTTCATACGTTTCATACATGAGCCTTGGGCTCGGATTATCGGCGCAACCCCATCCCACGTATTGACATAAATAGTTGGTTGATTGATTTCTTGATTTCTTGATAACCTTCTGGGAAAGAAATTTTTAATTGTAAAGAGTAATAATCAGTTCTATGAGGGAGATCAGGTAAAATAAAGGGCATGTAATGAGTGACATTCAAGAGTAAGCCGATGACTACATCTGTTAACAACAGCGAAAAAAGATCGCGGCTTCGAGACAGGAACAGTAGCCATGATTGCCAAGTGAAGCCCGACACTCAAAAAAGAATACTTCCTGGTGAACATTCTGTTCCCTGGAGGGCAAATAAGTGTGAGGGGGGAGAAACGGACCAAATAATAGGAGCCTAGGTGTGTTCATATTAGTTTTTAAGGTTGTTGCAATTTTAGGCCAATGCAATGTGAATAGTTATGTCAATTCTCCAAGGACTGTTTCCCCCTTTTCTGCGACCTTAACTTTAGTCCAAAAATAGTTATACCCATTTTAGGAAAATTAGTGCTTTACTTCTCCCTTTACTGTCAACGCAACAGAAATAATGACTTTCAGCGAACACAATGGAAATATTATTTTCAAGAAAAGAAGTATTGATTTAGTTAAAGCAAGATGTCGGGAGAGCAACACGTCCCGCTTGTCCTCTTCCCAATTTTTGCTACGCTATGCTTCTTGCTCAAGGAAGCCAAGGTATACCTACCTTAAAATATTTTTTGTTTACTTAATACTCTAAACAACACATTTCATAAAGTGCTGATGGTATTTGGCGTTTTTCAACACTGAAATTGAATGTTTCGTTGAGAGGAAGAAAGAAAGATATCGGGTGGGGCGCACAAGGAACAAAATACTTCAAAGAATCTTACGCTCCCTGTTTCAACAGTTCAGAACTAAAGTGAGTATTCTATCTTTTAAAACCAGTTGTGTTTCTTTTACAGCCGCCAGTTTTAAATCTGGGAAAACCAATAATATCACTGCCAGGAGCTCAGGGTTATTTGCTTGCGAGAAAATTACCTTCGAGGAACCATTTTCTGGCGGAAAGCTAGTGAAAGTGTTTCTTTCACCTGGTAACTCAACTAATGGTGCTGCTGTTTGGGTGGAATCAGAAGATCGCAGTCAATTTCGAGCTTGCATCTACGAGAACAGCGATGGCTCGAATGCAGCTGCGGAATTAAACTGGATTGCCTTGGAATCTGCCCCCTCCGGAGCACAACTAGGAACCACGTGCACTTCCTTGGACTCTTCGACGACAGGAACAAAGTGTAAGAAGGTCGATTTTTCTCAGGTTAGCTTAATTTTCAAAAACTAAGTAAGTTTACGTAAAAACTGGCCTTGAGTAATTATAAAAAGAAAGGATCCTTGGCCCGGGTCAGGCGGGTTCAGATGGAGGATGTTACGTTGAATTACCGACCCATTTGGTCACTTGAGTTACCACCGTTTTCGTTGATACGCGACTTTCGAAAACAAAACACCCGCGGAAACGTTTCCAAAATTTCCGTCAATCATGCGTGTTATCGACAGATCGGATCGAAATCCACCAATCACAGCCCGCTAGCATGACGTAAAGAAGGTCAGAAGGTCACACTAGTGGTTGTGGTTGGTGGATTTCGATCCGATCTGTCGATAACACGCATGATTGACGGAAATTTTGGAAATGTTTCCGCGGGTGTTTTGTTTTGGAAAGTCGCGTATCAACGAAAACGGTGGTAAAGTTCTTATATCCATTACTGTAAAATTCCGAAAATAAGCTTCGGGGCTTATATTTTTCAAAGACCCTTTTTGAGGGGCTTATGTATAGAGGGAAATTTGCGTTTCAAAATCGATTGGGCTGGCTTGTAGTGGCAAGGAAATTTACCATTTTTGCTTTGTTTTACTTTGTATTCGAGGGCAAATTCCAAGTGCAAGCCCCTCATGGCGGGGGGAACCTTATATTCGGAGGGGCAATTTAACGGAGGGTTTTTTGCGTTACGATTTTGGGGGGCTTATATTTGGAGGGGCTTATTTTCGGAATTTTATGGTACCTAGGCAAATTTATGACTAAATCTATAAAACTGAATTTATATAGTGAATTTAATTTGACAATCAGAGATCGAGAATAAACCAGTTCAGTTCCTCTCATGTTTCACTTCCCGAATGTGATAGTCTTTCACATGGTATGATTTGGCTCAGCCAATTGAATCCAAGCTGTCATTCAGTGTCATCAAGCGCTTAGAGCTGATTGCATGAGCTGGGCTGGCTAGCTTGAGGTGACGTTTAAC